CCTTCTGCCGGCGTTTGGGGGTCTCTCCCCGCTCCTTGCTGTGCCGGGGTGGCTCGGGATGAGCTCTGTTGACTGAGTTCTCCCAGCCTCAGCCTCCCCCCCCCCAGCTAACCCAGATAAATCTGTCGAGGCAGAAGAGAGCTCATTTGCAAGTCGCAGAAATCCCCAGGAATACGAACATTGATCTGAGGCCTCGTTAACAATCCGTCATTAAGGCAGCAACATATTCGGTGCATTCAGAAATAGGCTGTGGAGGAGAGATTGTGTCCTAATTAGGACACTGATTAACTAGCTGTGAGCCAGGACCTCCTGCCAGCTGCGAGGAGGGGAGGAGAGACCCCCGTGTGCTGTGGGGCCCTCTCTGAGGTCGGAAGTAGTGCCACAGCGAGCCCCTCGGCCCCTTCTGCTGTCGGGGCCGGCCCAGAGGGGAGGAGGAAGCAGAAGTGCAGGTGCTGAGCCATGCCAGCCGTGGGTGGCCGCCGGCCGGGGGGTCCTGAGGGCGATGCGACGGTGCCGCTGTCTTTGGGGGCAGGTGCAGGCGGAGCGAGACGAGCTCTATCAGAAGTTCACCAAAGCCATTAAGGAGGTGCAGCAGAAGACGGGGTTCAAGAACCTGCTGCTGGAGCGCAAGCTGGAAGGACTCCTCGGCGTCCTGGAGAAGAAGGAGCTGGAGATCAGCGCGGCCTTCACAGCCTCCAACCTCGACTCAGGCGCCCTCTCCTTGGTCTCAGACAAGCTGGAGGTACCGTGGGCTGCTGTGGGGCCCTGTGAAGGCTCGTCCTGGGGGGCAGAGGCTGCTCTGGGGTGAACGCAGACCTTGGGGCGTGCGAGCCCCTGTCCTACGTGGCTGCAGCTGCCGCGTCACTCCTTCCCGGCACTCCCAGGGCCACGCGCGGTGCCGCAGGGCACCCTGGCTCTCCCTCGAGAGCGGAGCACGTGGGGGTCGGAGTCAGGTGCTGATCTGTCCCTCGGGTGGGGCCTGTTTCGAGGAGAACGGCCCCGGGCTGAGCAGCGCTCACCGGCGCTCTGCGCTGCCGGGGCTGCGTGCGTGCGGGGTCCGTCAGCGACCCGCGGTGCTCTGCGCACGGGGAGTCGCCGCCAGTGAACCCG